TAATCGGTGAGTTACCACGATAGTTGCTATTCAACAACTCGACAACGTCCCATCGTCAACGCCTGCTATGAGAATTTCCCATTGCAAACGCCAACGAAATGACGTCATCGAGCTATCGATCAACTACCCTTATTATCGCCTGGTACCTAATAGCACGATGCTAGGAGGCGAACCGGAAGAATCGATGAGCTACCTCTCCCCCTATATCCGACCATGTCAATGGAAGTGGCCAAAATCTGACTTGAGTTAGAACTCATCACATGAGGATTTATAAATAAGATCGTTTGTAGTGTCCAACTCCACATTGGCCACATTCGAACATGCTTCTTGTTCCCTCGGTGTAGTGACCAGCGTTGCCACAATGTTTTAAAGGTTATTGGTATCAAGGGTTTTAAAAAATACTTTTGTATCGGTATTTCCTATTTTAATTAATTTTATATTTTCGCCGTTCTTGAAAGCGAAAATTAACTTTTGGACTATGATCGGAAGAAAACTCCGGAACTGTTTGAATTAGCTTCTGGAGGAAGCTGAAAACAACATACAGAGAAAGAAGAAAGAAGCTCTCCTGGAGAAAATTTGAGGAAAGTACTGAGAGAAGTCGGAAAAACATCCGCGGAACTTCCAAGACATAAATTGAGAAACTTCTGGCGAAAATTTCAGAAAAAATCGGATTTCACATTCAAAGGGAGGCAGAAAAGTTTCGGAAATCAGAAATAAATTCCAGAAGTAGCCATATCCAGGGGAAGCCAGAAGAAGCTCGTAAAAACCATACAGTAGAAGTCAAAAAAAAAAAAAAAACCAACTGGACAATGTTCCAGAACTAGACGAAAGAAATTTCTGTGAGAAGTTTAGTTGAACTTCCTGGAGAAGGCGAAAGAAGCTTCCTGGAGACGTTTCCAGAAACTTCCTAAGGTAGATTGGAAAAAAAAATCTGAAGGAAGTCGGAAGCCAGAGCGCTAACGGAACAGTCGAAAGAAACAAGGACTTAATTCTGGAAGAAAGAGCTCTTGGGGGATGTTCTAATGATCCAGAAAATTTTCTAAATGGTCATAAAACATCCCTGAAGTCCCAGCAATGCCCATGAAGTTTTTGGAACATTCCCGAAATGTACTTAGGAATATTCCATATTTCCTCGGGCTGTTTTGGAGTACTCTGATCTTCTTTGAAATACTTGGAACTTCCCTGAACTTTCTTGAAGATTACGAAATTTCTTAGGCGTTCTCACAATTTTCTTGAATTTATTGTAACATCAGCATTTATTCCCGATTTTTCTAATTTTTAAAAGTTACCGACACTGCCATTAATAAGTATGGAACTTCCCATAAAATGTTTTCACAATGTGCTAATGTTCGTGTAACTTACCTTACGTTTCTTTAATTTGCATGAGCCCCTTGGAACATTGCTGAAGTTTTCGGAAATTGTCTGAGTTTCTCGGAACTCCTTTGATATTTGTTGATCTGATCTGATTGTCCTGAGGTTCTCGGAGCTTCCTAAAGTTCTCTCAAACTAAACCTCAAACCTGAAAATATTGAAACTGTCCTGAAAACCATTAAATTTTCCAGAAGTTCTTTGGACTTGTAAAGTATCCAAAATATTTATGATGTTTCCTTAAGCTCACTGGAGTTCGCTGGACCGGGTTTTAGAATTTTAACAGAAATTATTGAAACATTCTTTAATTTATCTTACTCAAAAGTCTGGACTTTTCTGAAGTTTGAGAACTTTTTAAAATTTCCTGCAGCTAGTGTGGATTCGCAATCAAAATCTAGAAGCATCCCTGAAGTTCCGGGAAGAATCACTCGAGCGAAGGCTGAAGAAGCTTCCAAGGGAAGTCGAAATAAGTTTCCGAGAGGAATCGTAAATAGAAAATTCCAGGGGAAAGTTGGAAGAAAATCCAGGAAGTTAAATAATGTTTAAAACGTATTTCCCGATTCCCCTGGAATTACCAAAAGGAGTCATCGACTTTTTATCGATTCATGGGTAGACAAAAATGGTGGGGAAATTGAAATATTAATCGAAAGTGTATCCATAAGACATTTTTGAAGATGATTTTTTTTAGAATTTTAAAGACTCAAAAAATTTGAGATATTCATAAAGATAGAAGTCTCACACAATAATTGTCTCCGAAAGTCTGAGCGCGGCTGGCAATAATAATTTTGAAAATTAAAAAAAAAATCGGTATAATTCGGTATAACACCTCAAAAATCGGTATTCTGAGGAACCTTATCTGTATATCAGTATCTAGTTCGGAAATCGGTATAAATACCGATAAATCGGTATATCTGGCAACGCCGGTAGTGACTAGAATATGACTACATGCAAAACATAACATGCAACAAGTCAATTCACATAAGAATTCATAGCTAAGTTAATTTGTAGACATATCTTATGCTCAGGACAACATTGCACAGTGGGCCAGAAATATAATATATCTGGGCATAATTAATAACTTTGAAACGAAGCATTTCTGAAACTTGCTGCCTTCAGCAACGTTTATTATTATAATGAGAACCATCGATTGACAGAAAGAGCTTGTTAGAAGCTAATCCGCCAAAATTCAACTTTTCACTCTGACATTTAAGAGACTTGACGTCTTCATCTCCCTTAGCTCAGTCGCTAAAGGCGCAGCTACAAAGCAAGACCATGTTGGAGGTGGCTGGGTCCGATTCCCGGTCCTAGTAATTTTTGGCGTAGAAAATTTCTCGACTTCCCTGGGCATAGAAGTATGATTGGACTTGCCACACAATTATACCAATGCAAAAATGGTACAGGCATCGAAAGCTCTCAATTAATAACTGTGGAACTGCATCTAGAACACTAAGTTGAGAGCACGCAATAAGCTAATATGCGATATGCAATAAGCTTGAAATGCAAAGAAGAAGAAGAAGAAGAAGAAGAATAAGACGTCTTCATCTTAACAATTCTTTTGACTACTGCTTCCGAATCATTGGGAAAACATGTTTTCTGAATCCTTTTAAGATACTTTCATTAATGTCATGTAAGGTAATATATTTTTCACAGAACACAGAAATACACTTAAAAAAATAAAACAGATACGTTCTTCGTTTACTACTTGCAAACTTCTTCAGTGTCTAGTCATTGAAGTAGTTTGATAGTAGTAAACGAAATACGTATCTGCTATAGATTTTTTTTTAAACTGATAGTGAAAGTAAATAGTGAAAGTGATACAATAGTAGTAGAATTAAAAAGTAAAAAAAAAACAATGTAATATGGTATACAACTATTCTACTAAATCGCGCATTAATCAATTTAGAACAGAAATTTTGGTAACGAATAAACTGGCCCAGTGGCTCAGGAGTGCAATATAGTAGGGAAAACATTGATAACCTCAAAACGAAGCATTTTCATGGGTCCATGGGTGTTCGGATTTGCGACCAACACTACGCGGTGAAACTGGGGGGTTTGAAAACGGTCACTTGACCTTTTATTGCTCGCCTGTTATTTTGTAAGAATAACACGGTAGATGCGTTCGATTTGAAGCTATATTTTTGACTGACTTGTTTGATTTCTGGCTATCTTATATATCTATACGATCAGTATCAGAGAGAGTGTGTATAGAACCGAAGGAACACGATTTCAATAGGCCTTTTGGCTCATCTGCGTTACCTACTCTAGCTGATAAGGTTGATAAGCAACGAAAGTGTTGCATTGGAGAAAAAGAGACAAATCTATTCTAGCTGAATAATTGCAATAGGGTTCAATATCCAACTAATGCTTCAACAATGGGATTGAACTAGCCAATAGCTAAACATCTCGTTAGTAAAAATTAAAAATATATATTTGCGCTTATTTCTTCAGCAAAGTTTCGAATTATAATAAGAACCATCTATTGACATTAACCGATGTGATCGCGCCAAACGTAAAATTATAGCTTGCATTTATGTTGCGAGAGCCACCCTAATACGCGATCACTCACTCTCAATTTTCTCTCCCGTACGCTATTGTGCACCATACAACCAGCTGTGTAGAATGAATAGGAAAGGCTTTAGCGTACGGTCGAACGGTGGTCGTGTATCGTTCCTACTACATGCAGGCAAAACAGATGATCAGGCAGAGTAGGTAGTAGCGAAGAGTAGGAAATAAACCATCCCCGCGATCGGCCGACGGCAAGTAAACGTGTATTGTTATGAAAATAAAGTGTTTTCTCTAACCGCGATTAAAGGTGCTTTATAGTGACGATATCACTACGTGTTGAAACTAAGTGCGTGAGACACCGGCGATTACCATCGCTTTTATGTGCGTGAACATAAATTGGTCCTTCGAACCGGATTCAATCGAGGTGTCGTTTCGCGCGAATGTAAAGTGCGCCGTTGGGCGGTCGGAAAAAGGACACTTGCTTTGTACAGTGCGGGACAAAAGCGCGAATTGAAATTTCGCCATCGCGCAAGTGCTTTGGGTCACGTATAGTACCCAATAGTAAAACAGGTGGTGAATGTAGAATGGTGGATTGCTGCTGAACTAGTGGATAGAGAGTGGTTCCTGTTGGCAAGCGGAGACGGAGCGGACTTCGACGGACGAGCGAGATCGACGACGAAAGCAGCGCTGATCGATATTAATTGGAGTCAGATAAGTACAGTGCATGTGTGGTCTGTGGTGGCTCGATGCATGACGAGTGCCATCAATAAAAAATACAAAATTTCTGTGAAGGTTAATTGCAATAAAATCTAAATTGTTGCATGCGACATTGTGTTTTTGATTTAGTGGATCTGGTCCCTGTGGTTCGTTCGCCTTCAGAATTGGTCTAGGACTTTGCTGGTAGTTCTGGTTGGCTTGATTTCCGCTGGTTGAATTCCCTTTCGCTGTAGTCAATCTTGGGTGGTCAGTTCGTCTCGCGGCGCGTGGAACGTCGAGTCGATTCGCAGTCAGCAGTGTAGATCAATGCGATAGAGGAAAGTGTGGTGAAAGTGGACAGTGCAAACGAACTTACCTGTGCAGTGTGTACTTACTAGTGACTCAGTGATTTCAGTAGTGATACCCGAATCATGGCGAGTGATTTAAGAAGTTTGCTGAAGAGACAGAAGCGCATACTGAACAGTATAAACTCTGTAGCCAGTTTCGTGCAAGTGTACAACGAAGAGCGTGATAAAGATGAGGTTGAAGTTCGTTTGCAGCTGTTAGAGAGTGCATTCATTGAATATTTTGAAGTGCTTGAGAAGATAGACGTGATAATCGATGAAGTCGACGAGGAAGAAGTAGCAGATTCCAAGGAAGCGTCGAAGGATCGTCAGTTGCGGCTTGAAAGTGCGTCGAAGAAGAGGGAAGATGAAAGCGAAGCTATTACGAAGCACGTCGAGAATAGCTACTGCAAGACCAAGGCTGCGTTAGTGAAATGGCGGCAGAAAATGTTATCGGCAAATCCTGCACCATCAATACCGGTTTCTGGACCCATTCTTTCGAAGGTCAAGCTTCCGGAGATTAAACTGCCGACATTCTGCGGCAAGTTGCGCGATTGGGTTTCATATCGTGATGCATTCCAGAGCTTGATTCACCAGAACCGTGATCTCACTGACATGGACAAATTCACGTACCTTCGTTCATCACTGTCTGGAGACGCGCTTTTAGAAATAAATGCCGTTGAGCTTACTGCTGCAAACTACGAGGTGGCCTGGAATGCACTGGAAGATCGGTACCACAACAAGAAGCTGATCGTGAAAGCGTACTTGGATGCCATTTTCGCAATTGAGCCAATGAGGAAGGAGAGTTTCGAATCACTCAGCCAGATCGTCAGTGACTTCGAAAAGAATCTCCAAATGCTGCAGAAAATGGAGGAGAGAACCGAAGGTTGGAGTACCATTCTGGTGCACATGGTGTGTTCGAAGCTCGACCCTGTGACTCTTCGACTCTGGGAGACGTCACATAACTCGAAGGAAGTACCGACCTACAGAGACCTAGTGAACTTCCTGAAGAACCACTGCGCCGTACTTCAATCCGTTGGGTCGTGCAAGCCCACCCCTGTTGAATTCAGGAAACCGAAGATTGGTGTGAGTCATTCGTCGACCTCCTCCACTAATAGGTGTTGCTTTTGCTCCGAATCATTCCACTCTGCATTCGTGTGCAAACGGTTCCAGAAGATGAGGATCTCGGAACGTTATGACGCAGTGAGGAAGAACGGATTGTGCATCAACTGCTTGTCATCAGGGCACTTGGCAAGGAACTGCAGCAAAGGATTTTGCCGTCAGTGTGGAAGGAAACATCATTCTCTGCTTCATACGGATTCGGACAGTGCTTACCAAAAATCCTCCGTTCCACAGACGACAAAACGACCCCCAAGTGAATATCAAAAACATACACAGCAAGCACAATCGGGATCTCCAACACAGCAAACAGCACCAACCACAAACCAACACGAACCATCCACTTCACTACCAATCGTCAATACACAATCGCATTGCATTAACCCACAGCCTGCCACAGACCGATCCAACACATTACAAAATACTGTAGCACTCCCAACACAAACAAGATCACATACACGCCAAGTTCTTCTGTCAACCGCTATGGTACGTGTGTGCGATAGCCAGGGAAGCACAATGCTAGCCAGAGCGTTGCTTGATTCATGCTCCCAGTATTGCTTCGTGACATCCGACTTCTGTCGACGGATGAAACTCAAGCAATTTCCGGACTATTTGTCAGTGAAAGGTATTGGGGGTTCAGGACTTGTATCGAAAAACGCTGTCTGCGGCGTGATCAGCCCTCGCTTCGCCAGCATCTCAGACTACGAAGAAGTGATGCAGTTCAACGTCCTCCCGAAGCTGACTATTCCACTCCCGAGTGAAGAGGTCGAAATTAGCCAGTGGAATCTTCCCGAGGATATGGTGTTGGCAGACCCCAACTTCTACCAGACATTGGATATCGACATGATAATCGGCGCAGAACACTACATGAATCTGTTATGCGAAGGAAGGTTCAGGCTAAACGAGGATGGCCCTACCTTCCAAAACTCCGTTTTTGGATGGATCGTGTCCGGGCGTGTATTCAATTTCAGGTCTTCCGTTCCCAAAACGTCTACAACGCTGTGTTCAATGACTGAACTTCAAGAACAGCTGACTCGTTTTTGGGAGCTCGAGAGTTGTCACGTCAAGAGCACGTATTCCGTGGAAGAGTCTACATGCGAGGAGATCTTCAAGCAGACCACTGTTCGTGATGACGATGGCCGTTTTGTGGTGTCACTGCCCAAGAAGGAGCACATCATTGAACGCTTGGGAGATTCAAGGCGTAGCGCTGAGAAACGATTTGCAAGCTTGGAGAAGCGATTCGTTACCAATCCGCAGTTGAAGGAGCTGTATTGCGAGTTCATGGAGGAGTATTTGTCGATGGGCCACATGAAGAAGGTACGAGAAGAAGATCTGTCCGAGTCAGCGTGCTATTTCCTGCCGCACCATGCCGTGTTGAAACCGGATAGCACGACAACGAAACTGCGCGTTGTATTCGATGCTTCCTGCAAAACTACATCGGGATTCTCGCTCAACGATGGGTTAATGGTTGGCCCTGTAGTCCAGGATGATCTTATCTCTATTCACACACGGTTCCGTTTACATCGCATCGGAATGGTAGCAGACGTAGCCAAAATGTACCGGATGATTAAGATGTTCCTGCTCGATCAGAAGTTGCACCTGATTCTGTGGAGGAAATCCCCGGATGATCCGATCGAGATTTTCCAACTGACGACCGTTACGTACGGTACAGCATCGGCTCCTTTTTTAGCGACTCGTTGCTTGGTACAGTTAGCAGAAGATGGAGAATCAACACACCCGATCGCTGTGAACATCCTGCGGAAAGATTTCTACGTTGACGATATGATCACTGGGGTAGATGATCCTGAGGAAGGAAGAAGGTTAGTCGAGGAAATGGTCAATCTGACCAATTCAGCTGGATTCACTTTGCGCAAGTGGAATTCGAATAGCGAAGAAGTTCTGAGCGAGCTTCCATCACATCTACGAGATGAACGGGCGGTATTTGACATGGATTCGCCTGCATCGTCCGCTACCGTCAAAACTTTGGGTCTTTTCTGGAGTCCGACAACCGATAACTTCTGCTTCACCGTTCCCAAATGGAATCCCACCCCAACCGTTACGAAAAGAACCGTCGTCTCCGATGCGTCCAAATTATTCGATCCTTTAGGGCTTATAGGACCTGTCGTTGTTGAAGCCAAAATCTTCATCCAAACGTTATGGAAACTGCAAGTGAGTTGGGACGAGCCGCTCGCTGAAAACTTGCAAACCTTTTGGCTGGAGTATCGCAGGAATCTCAGTGCCCTAGAATCCATTACCATTCCCAGATGGGTTGGGTATAGCAAGAAATGCACATCTATTGAATGGCATGGGTTCTGCGACGCCTCTGATAGCGCTTACGGTGCTTGCTTGTATCTTCGATGCACGTACGCTGATGGATCGGTTCGAGTCCAGCTAATGATATCGAAGTCAAGAGTAGCGCCGCTGGAGGATTTGAAAAAGAAGAAACGCAAGCAGTCTACGCCCCGTCTAGAACTCTCGTCCGCTCTGTTACTCTGTCATCTATATGAAAAGGTGCGTCGTAGCACTCAACTGGCAGTTCCCTCGTATTTCTGGACGGACTCCAACATTGTCAAATTTTGGATTGCTTCCACTCCATCGCGATGGCAGACCTTTGTTGCAAATAGGGTGTCCGAGATCCAACATCTTACAGAAGGAGGAGTGTGGAACCACGTAGCAGGAATACAGAACCCAGCCGACGTTCTCTCAAGAGGTATATCAGCCACACAGCTCGAATACCAGAACAGTTGGTTCAGAGGTCCCATCTGGTTACACCAAAGTAGAAGTTACTGGCCCGAGAATGCTGAAGTAGCCATTGATCAGCTTGATCCAGCAGTTCTTGAAGAACGTAGCACCGTTGCCATGCCGCTACAAGCTTCTCCACCGAGCGAAATCTTTTCGCTCCACTCGTCGCTCTTCAGCCTAGTTCGTCTGGTGGTCTGGATTCGCCGATTTCGCCACAATGCCCAGAGAGTTAACCGAACTTCCAGGAAATTCGGGTACATCGGAACGCAGGAGTATGAAGGCGCACTCAAGGACTTGGTTCGATTATCGCAAAAGGAATGCTTCCCGCAGGAGATAGCAAGTTTGTCCCGGGAGGTGCAGGTTCCAGATTCGTCCAGGATATCATCGTTGAATCCTCAGATCCATGAGGGCATCGTTCGCGTTGGCGGACGGCTGCAGAATGCGCCGGTTTCGGAGAGTCGGAAGCATCCGATGATACTCGACCATCGCCATCCTCTCGCTACACTGGTAATTCGGCATTACCACTTGAAGATGCTTCACTCCGGGCAACAAGTTCTGATCGCAAGCACACGAGAAAGGTTTTGGATCACGAACATCCGCAACGTTGCACGACGAATCCTGCACGAATGCATCACCTGCTTTCGAAACAATCCCCGATGTCAACAACAGTTGATGGCCGAGCTTCCACCGGAAAGAGTAACTCCAGCACCACCATTCATGAAGGTGGGTGTGGATTACTGCGGCCCGTTCCTGGTCACCTATCCACAACGTCGTAGTCCTCCCGTGAAGTGCTATATTTCTGTATTCGTGTGCCTCGTCACCAAGGCAGTACACATTGAACTTGTCGCTGATCTCACCACAGAAGCATTTCTAGCAGCACTGAAACGCTTCACCGCTCGTCGTGGACGTCCAGCGTTGATAATGTGCGACAACGCCAAGAACTTTGTAGGAGCTAATCGAGAACTACGGGAATTGCTGAAGCTGTTCGAACGTCAGCAGTTCCAGAACGCAGTAGCCAGTAACGCCGCATCGGAGAGAATTGAGTTCAAGTTCATCCCGGCAAGATCACCAAACTTCGGAGGTTTATGGGAAGCTGCTGTAAAGTGCTTCAAGAACGCCTTCAAGAAAACCATCGGAACAAGAACTCTGCTCTACGACGAGATGCAGACGGTACTCGTACAGATCGAAGCGGTTTTGAACTCCAGACCCCTCACTCCAGTTAGCAACGATCCTGGAGACTTCGAAGCGCTCACACCAGGTCATTTTCTAGTTCAACGACCACTGACAGCAATCGCTGAGCCGAACCTAGAGCATCTTTCTGCTAATCGGCTCTCAGTCTGGCAAAGATCGCAGAACTACGTCCAGATGCTGTGGAAAAAATGGACTACTCTGTATCTCTCGGACCTGCATAATCGCACGAAATGGACAAGGCAACGTGACAATATCACAGTAGGAACTATGGTCTTGCTGATGGATGAGCGGTTACCGCCGCTGAAGTGGAATCTTGGTCGAGTCACCGAAGTATTCCGAGGCTCTGACGACAACATCCGGGTAGTAGCAGTGCGCACAAGCAATGGGGTCTTCCGAAGAGCCATCTCGAAGATTTGCGTGCTTCCAATTCGGGATAACGCAACATCTACCAACGACGAGCACTAGTGCTTCTCAATCGGTGGTGCTAAAGCACCCGCGGAGGTCCGTGCGGCCTCCGCGAACCAGTTAAGTTTTGTGTTATATCAGTATTTCAAAAAGTTAATATAAGTTTCATACCTCATAGCCGCTGTTCTACCCCGGTCCCGGGCCCCCGGGACGTTCAACCGTACGGAGCCAACTTTCGAATTTGAGTCCAAGCCCTTGTTCACTTGAGTTCTATTTCCGAGGTACAAGCATGCGTTGGTGAAGGTAGATGTGTGATCGTCCAGTCAAGAAGTTCTGTGAAGTCCCTAGTCAAGCAATCAATGGAGTAGCCAGTTTGTCTCTGGGTCCATCTGCTTACTTGCTTGAAAATAACCACTTCCATTTCGTCGAGGTCAATCCTGACAGCATCCCGAGGTCCAGTAACCTGCAGCGTCCAGAATGGAGTTTGGCCAACTCTACGACTGTCACTACAGCAAAGGATCAGCCCTTGAAGCGGTAAGAGCTCACCGCTACCGTCAGGATTCAACCTCGTGAGTCATTAAGAGCGATCAGTACCATACTGAATTCCGTTGGGGCATCGTCATCGCCGCTGGGAGCGGTCGCCGAGGCCACGAGGGCCTCCGCTCCAGGCAACGACGAATGATGCCCGTGTACACCGTCATCGAGGACAACCGCAGGACAACCAGAAGGATCTCCTACCGTCGATTGATGTCCAAGGAATCGATCGAACCCCGAAGGCACATTACTAACGCACCAACATGCAATCCGTACCGATCAAGTCGACGTACTGAAGAACAGCAGCAAGAACCACAGAAGCGACACGAAGAAGAATTACACCGACCGTGATGAAACGGTATTCCATTGCACACGGCATCCCGACGCAGGCGTTCGTCCCACGTCGTCGAGAAAGCAGTCATCAATGATCAGTATCAGCAGCAAGAAGAAGAAAACAAGTGAATTAATACAATAATTTGAATTCTTTAGATAAGTTTAGATTAGGAATTAGTTAGAAGGTAGAATTGAAATCCAGCAGGTTTCAAGGCGGCCGGCTTATGATCGCGCCAAACGTAAAATTATAGCTTGCATTTATGTTGCGAGAGCCACCCTAATACGCGATCACTCACTCTCAATTTTCTCTCCCGTACGCTATTGTGCACCATACAACCAGCTGTGTAGAATGAATAGGAAAGGCTTTAGCGTACGGTCGAACGGTGGTCGTGTATCGTTCCTACTACATGCAGGCAAAACAGATGATCAGGCAGAGTAGGTAGTAGCGAAGAGTAGGAAATAAACCATCCCCGCGATCGGCCGACGGCAAGTAAACGTGTATTGTTATGAAAATAAAGTGTTTTCTCTAACCGCGATTAAAGGTGCTTTATAGTGACGATATCACTACGTGTTGAAACTAAGTGCGTGAGACACCGGCGATTACCATCGCTTTTATGTGCGTGAACACGATGGTTAAAAACTCATTCGCATAGATGGCGTAGAAATCTAACTTTTCACTTTGACATCCTAGAGACTGGACGTCTTTGACAAAATTGTTCATCTTACGCAAATAAACAACTCTTATGAAGACGTTACAATTTCTTTTGCTTCCGTGTTATTCAGAAAAAAATTGATAGCATGGTAAATTTTCGCAACAGTTGAAATTAAAACCTTTTTCGAAAAAAATATTTGGTACAAGTGGTAGCATTTATGTCCACCGAAAATGCCACCAAATTTTTTCTTCTATTTTCGCTAAGATAAGTGTGGTGTGGTGCCAAAAATCGATTCCAGCAAAAACCAAACCATTGATCACTTTCAGCCTAAGCCTCGCAATTCTCGCAAGTCAACCTATAGCACTTCCTTCGATAATAATGAACCACGTTCGAACAAATCACCTAACCTAATCCCCGGTGCCGTTTAACAAATCGCCCCCGCTAGTTAGGTCCGGTGTCCCGATTCTCCGCAAGATTTAACTCGAAATTAATAGATTTGCGCAGATACTTTCATCGACATATTTATAGCGTTTCGGCCCTGCTTCTGCTGCTGCCTCACCCTGGACAAACGGTTTAATCGGTCGAATTATTTGCTGCTCGAAAATTGCTTCCACAGCCGTTCGGGTCTCATCCGATCCGATCCGGTGGTACGACCCATAAATTCAGCAGCGAGGCTTCCTGAGCTCATGCGGGTGGCAGTGCCAGTGGCAAATTCCTTCCGACACACTCCGTTTCCGGAAGTTCATCCCAACACAACGGCCAAAGGTCGTATATTTTTCTCCTCACAAGTCACCAGTTGATATTCGAGTAAAGGGATGGGAATTTCACATCGCGTGTCTTGTTCTGAGCGGAACTCCCAGGGAGACAGGATGTGCTGTGCATCACATGAAGGCAAGATGGATGCACCGACGAACCGAGGACGATGTCTTCCTGGTTCCTGAGCAGCATGTATCTGTCGGTCGGTCGGTCGGACGGTCGTTTCTCGTCGGTGTGACTGCACCAGCAAGGTGCAGTATGTTGTGTGCATGCAAAGTCGCAGCCCATTATTCGTCCCCCTGGTATCAACGGGCAGAAAATTAATTACTCGGCATTAAACTGTCTTGAAGGGAATAATTATTACCATGTTATTATTAAGTTTACAGTATTAATTGCAACAACTAGTGGCGGGAATAATTTAATTTTGCTGCACTGTTGTTCATGTCGTTGCCGAGGACACATTTACTGGACAAAGCTGTCAGTAGGGATTACTGAGCTGTAAGTTTCCAGATAAATTATTTGTCACCTTATAGCTATGAATTTCCCTCAAAACCCCATCGATCATCGTGTAAAAATCCGTCATAACACAAACATTACGTCTCATTACGCCAATTCAACGATGAGACGTAAATATATCATCCTCAGAATGCCATGGACAATCGAATTACGCCAATGGCAGTTGGCTATGAAATTTATTGCTATTGCGCTCATGGCCTCCTGCTCCTACTAGAAGTGAGGATTCAAGACACCTTCTCGCAAGATCCAGTATGTACCCTATCACACGTTTTGCGCATTCCTAAAATGCTTCTTATCGGCACACAAGGGGATGCAAACGGACCGATGCGACGTGACGGCCATAACGGCTAGTTGCTCAGGATTTCGTTCGTGTCAAAGGCGTGACTGATCACTTTACAGCTTGTCACGGGTAATTTCAGTTGTTTTATAGGCATAAAACTGTCGTTCGGAGATTGACGGCAAGTACAAATCTACATTGGACAAAAGCTTAATACTGTCATCATTAGGGGTGCTAATTGTTATACGGTGGCAATATAAGCAGCTGCTGACAGCGTGTAGTCACTGCGAATGTCTCCGCTATTGGCTAACAATTGCAGTGTTATTCCTTTATGAGGGTGGATATTTCACGTTTTGCAATTAAGTAACAGTTCAAACTGATCATCAGCATTCCGAGGACTTCCAATTGCTGTACTGAAATGGTTTACAAATGCTTTAAATCAATCGGAAGTCCAACGACACACCTTCAAAACCACTGTTTATCTTGATCAGAATCTTTGTGCTGATCGTTGGTATCCGTTAGAGAGCATTGTTGTTTTGTCATTCTAGATCTAAAGGCTGCCGTATGACTGGCAAAGGGTTGCCAGTCCAACCGACAGTCAGACAGAAACGCTTTTGTAATGAACCATTTGTTTTTAAAATAGAAGTTTATGATTTTGGAATATGTTTTATATACACGACATGAAAGTTCCAGTTGGTACGTCATAAACCAAGAAGAAGAATAACCGGAGGCAGTCAGTGTCAGTAGCACATTAACGATTGTCTGTCGAATGAGCTTTTGTATTCTCTCTCTCTCCCTCCAAAAGCATGCATCAAGTTAGAGCAACAAACAAATCAAAGCAGCTGGAAAAACAATTTACCCTGAGTGGCATCTGGGTGAAGTGACGGTTCGATTCCCGCTCCATTCGATGGGATTTTTCGTAAAACAGTCAATTTCCCCACTGCACAGTGCACAATGATCCAGACTAGGAATTTAGCAGGAAAAATGCATTTGTTGCCAGAAATTGACACATTTGAAAACCAAATTTCTTCCGCAAAGTACTAACCCTCATTTTGGTTTGGTTTAATACTAGGATGGGTTAGCATTGAAATAAAAAAAATGCAGAAAGAAAGATGTAAATTTTTCGGCAAAGCTAAGCTTAGCTAATTTCAAGCAACTTTGTTCAAGAATTTTTATTTGTATCAATTGACCAATTTAGAGTATTTTTCCTCAATTGAGTTAGAAAAAAAAAAAACATTTTTTGCTCTATTTATTGATTTCAAATTTTTTTCAGCAAAGTTGTCTGAAAACAACTTTAAGAACTTTTGAAGACGCAACTTTTTCCGTGCAGAACCTGTCGATGCTTTTTGCCGATCAAGAGTTATTGACGTTTTATTATAAAAATACGCCCTTTCGTTACTTCTGGGACCAGGTTGGGGCAAATATAAAACCTATAGTTTGACGGAATTTTTAAGAGTGCATGTTGTCCAATAAATTATCAAAATATTAGAGATAGTTAATTATTGTAACTTGCATAAAATCAACTGGACTTTGTTCATCATTTAAATATAGCTGGGTATGAGTTCTCTATAAAATGCGATATAGGCGTTGTTTTTATAACAAAACATGCACCTCATTATGCTTCAGAAGCCTCTCAAAGATTACTTTCATGAGAAGTGTGAATTAATGAAGTTACACGCAAAAGATGGTTTTCAGAGGGTTAAAGAGGTTAAACACATTACAAATAAGCTATAATACTTTTGTTCTAATATTTAGACGTTCGGTGTCTTCAGTGAAAATTTGGTACCTAAAAATCCCATTTTTTGGTCCTCAAATAAATTAAAAAGAAACTCTTTTATTTTTTGAAATGGAGTCGTACATATGATTTTCAGAGAAATAGTAGTTGAGTCGATTCGATGCACTTAATGTTCTAATTATTTTTTCAAAAGTGTGTTAGAGTGTACCTTACACATGTGTTGTTATAACAAAATTTACAGCTTTTCCCAATTATA